AAGTTGGTAGTATCTCCTTCTGAGGAGACACCTTTGGGGCAGGGGTCAGAATGCTTACTCGACAAGGGAGTTTCCGCCTAAGACGGTACGGTGAAATTTCTAGGTCCGTTTGAAAACTTTTACTGGGATTTTCACTGAATGATTAGGACATTGAGGACTCGTGCATATCCGTTTTTCGCACATATCAGCATTGCATGATGAGCCTAGGCGATTGCAATCAGCTAGCAAGAGTTTTGGAACTAGCGGTCATTCTATCGACATTGATAATAAAAAGCACTAGATGCGATAATGTGACAAAGACTCATCATTATATGGTGACAAAAACAATGATGGTTATTCGGATCCTGGGAAATACCGGGTCACCGCGCATTAGCTTAGCTCAACTTTAGCCGGTCCAACAAACAGTGCCACGTGTGCCCAAGTCTATCCGGTCAGCTGAATCAAGCCGATTGCGTTCGTGAAGAGCACATCAATGCGGCAGGTTCGTGTATCGGTTGAGCTTACCTTTGAAGTGTGGCTAGCGGCTGTATGGCGTTGAAATGAGCAATGACAAACAGTTAACCCACGTGAAACGCTAAAAACCCTGCAACATTCATCTGATGGATCCCGATCATGGGGAAACACTTGGCGAACAGAGAACACTCTACTTCTTAGAAGTCTAGGTCAATGGTATAAGAGATTTCCATAGTGCTGTATCCACTCCGGTAAAGGAACTGATTTAGAGAACTGCAAAGTGATTCTTTTCGGGTCGCGTGGGATTCGGTTCCTCGATGGGGTGCAATGGAAAGATACATTATGTTTCCAGGAAAGGAGCTTTTTCCCCGAAGGTCTCTAGGTCGAAAAACAGTATCCTCACTGACAATATACATCACACCACCGATTCAGTGTTGGTCGCTACCATGATTTAATTTACACCAGCTACACAGCTCCAATAGGTTCCACATGCACAGGACGAACGGGCTGGAGGCTGAAGCCGATCGAGGATAAGCCTTTTCAAAAATATTCTATTAAACTGCGCGTAAGACTTGGTGGTAACTGCGCTGACGTCATCCTGGTATGTGGCAGCCTCTGAAGAGGCGGTACAATACTCTGAGGGAGGACTAAGTATCCAAATATTTTTTGCAAGCGGATCGATCCGCTAGCCGCATCAAACCCGAGGCGAATTATACCAAGGTAACCAGTACAACTCAGCAATTTATGTGTACAGAAAATACGGACAAACTCGCACGTATACTACTTATTCAATCCAAGAACATATGGACCATAAAACAAAGCAACGTAAGCGCATTGGATGCTGAGGAGAGTGGAACGAATGTCATACTTTCAACATATGATGAAGTTGTGGACTCATGTTGTCTTTATCAACTATTTTGAAATGTCTATCATTCTAGTAACCAGGGCGGGCATACCTAACATATTTCGTTTCATCCGAAGGTTGGTTTACCCGTGCACTCATAAAACAGGCAAAGGTGAAGCCTCTATTCCAGCGTTTTTTATGATTACAATGAAATAGCCCATCTGTGTTTTGTTCCTGTCCACGAATGTTCAACTGATTTTAGTCTTGTAGCCCTGGTCAGTCGACACATACACACAGAACAAATTCAGTGAGCCTGCAACCCAGTGGGGTTTCCGGTTGGACAACAAGAATGCCTAATCATAATTAGCAATTTTAACACTTAAAGTAGGCATCAGTTTACGATTAAAACTGATTGTTCTATAAGACATTTTTGAAGAATGATGAAAACTATTGGACAGCTCAGTGGTTGCTTTGTAAGCCAAGCCTTCGAATCTCCGTCAATCTTACTTCGTACTGGGACACCGAACTGGACGTGTGTGTGTGGATAAGCATTCATCTGTCAAGGGAATCAACGGGACTTTCAGCCAAGTCTCCCATTAACACCGAATTAATTTGCAAATGAGGGTTTGTCACCACACAAGTCCAGTTCATTAAATTAGGGAATAAGACTGGCTGACGGATTCCAAAACGTGCAGAACCGGTAGTGGGCTGTCCAAGAGTTTTCACCAACCAGGCATCTCGACTGCTCTTGTCTAGGCTAGGATAACCTAACGGTATCTCAGCCTTCGTCTTTCCTTCGGGTGACACAACAGTTAGGCACGGGAATAGTGCTGAAAGATTATTTTATTATTATATTATCCCAAGTGAAACATGACGGGGCTTTGTGCAGCGCACTCTGCCGAGGCGCTTTAAGAAAAGGACTCGGACATGTTTACTACCATGATCGAGGGTGTTTATTGGCTTGTCATTGCCTTCTGTCGACGCATGTACCGAGCAACTTCGGCAATATCTTGAAGACTGATTAAAAGTATGGCGGGCCTCGCTCGGGTCCACATTAAGCTTCCGCCACCTTCCTTGATCCGTCCACCGGGGATGACCGACTTCTACGTTCTTCTCCCGACTAAAAGCCTTTTGGAAAAAAACTTCGGTTCATACGACCACAGCCTTTAAGTCCTTCTGACCGGGAACCTAAGTGCAACAGAGCTGTCCGCGAATATTCAAGTGCTGTTTCTCTTACCAAATGTATAGCAGGTGAGAGGTGCTGAGGGAATGAAAAGAGGTTTTTCAACAGTATTCCAGTCGAGATTTCGTCCTGCAAGTGAAATCAATCTATCCCGAAGGGCTGAAAAGCACTGTTCAGTTGTTTTATTCGCCTTGTGTCGGAGTGATGCCAGCTTCCTACCGGAAAAACGGTCACAAAACCGAGTGCGAAAACCTTAGGCGTATCCGTTTCAGTCCAGCAGTCTCGAAAATGATCGTGGGCATCAGTCTGCGAAAATTAAGCAGCGCTCGAGAACATCAATTGCGTATGAATCAGGTAGGGTCCCGTGCAGGTCGGGAATGCAATAACCACATTTTAATGCTCCGACCAAGTCTTGATCACCATTATACTTACGAACGGCTAGCAGCGTTGGACTCCGTTGACCACTGCGTTTTATGAGACTGCCTAACAACCCACTCAAAAGAATCATCTCTCCATTCATGAACTCCAATGATCGTGGACGTCTATGGCGAGCTTTCTGTGTAACACAAGAAGTGGGGTCTGATAAGGCTGTCTTGTCTCACCTTTTCTTTTGAACGTTGAATCTACTACTTTCAGGAGTTGATTTAGTATCGGGAGAAGACCACACTGATCTAAAGAAGGCGGAGGATATTCTGCTGCTGAGTTTGAATTCCCTATAAAATATAAAATACGTTAAATAGTTCACCTCACTTCACCTTCTCACTGCTTCCGGAATATGCACTACAAACATACAAAGTTCTAGTCATTGCGGCCCAACTGTTTGCAGTGATCCTGCTAGTAGTGGAAATCCTGGTAGTCGTATCTAGTGGTAGTGATGAAGACGAACTGAGTGCTGGAGTAGGAAAAGATCGTTCGGCCTCAGTTCAGATTAATCAGCTATCGTGCCGACGTCAGAAGAAGAGTGCACAATGACGCACGTGACCGCTATCGCATGGGTATGAAACCTGGCTAGTTTGCAGGCAAGATAACAGACCATTACTCGATTTCGACGGTCGATAACCAAACAGTATTGGTCGACTAGTAAAGACAGTGGTGCCTCTTTATTCACCAAATCATTTCCACTTCCTAAATCTGTTCGCGTCATTTCGTATTCTTCGTCGGTGGTACAGGACTGTAGCGACCGGAGCCCCCACACTTATGTGTATGACTGAATGGTTTGCTTGAGATAATATGCTAGTGCTGGAAACTAATCGACAGTTAGCAACCGGTTTCGTCCTTCCTGGAGGTTCATTAGATAGGCGTACTCCCTGAGTTTTCTTCAGTCTACTTGAACCCAAATTGTACGCAGTTCGCGAAATAAACTTATTTGAAAACTAACTTAGAACCGATCGAGTATTATTTAGGGGTTCAATCTAACACATGTCTAGCATACAACGACATAAAGACTTTGCTCAGACAGTCGGGCTAAGAAATGCCAACAAAATCACCATTGGGAACAGTTACGTGCTATTTCCTGTATGATTCCCGACTACGTTCAAGGATAATCACGTGAATTCCCGCTAGATAGGCTCAAACGTCCCCAGCAAAATTGTCTCAAAGGTTAATTAAAGCGGAAATCAATTTTTGGTGTAGGATGGTTAGGAACGTTTGATACACATAGCAACCATCTTAAGTAGACAGGCTTTGCCGCTCTAACGATCAAGACTCAATACCAAGCTATTGTTTTGGTAAATTTCATTATGATGCAGTCAGCTAATATCTACTATGTTGCCAGGACATTTTTGACGAGAGAGATTCTAGTTTTTTGGGATGGACAAGCCATTAATTATCATTGATCCCGGTCATTTTGAACCTCTCGCCCCCTTCAGCATCAAGGACACCTGTTTCTGATGTCCGGCTTGACGTACAATGAGTGCTCGGATTTCAAATATTGCAGTAAAGTCATGGCTCACGCAGCTATTAAGATACGTGGGCCGACGAACGAACCCCGAAACTCCCTTATTCTGAAGACGTAAAGGGGTGGAATATAATCAGAAACCTTGAAATGGGACTTTATGCTGGAGGTATTGCGTAAGATTTCGACAAGTGCGAAAGGCGTGTCTCGCGTGACAAGAACCGGAATTTCTTCTCTATTGGTTTCCTTGATTAGATCACATCCGAAGAAAGCTTAAGTAAGGATCATCAAGATTTGTGGTGTCCGAATTACAAGGAACAGACTGGAAAAGAGTGACCAAAAGGTCAACTAAGAAGGTAGTGATGGTCAGTGGGTCGGTTCAGTTTTTCTGCTTGGGCCAAGAAGTGAGGTTGTACCACTCCGTAGGGCCGACCTCAGTGTTGTTGGAGATGTTCTTTGTAGCTAAGTGGACTTTCACGTCCCCTTAAGTTATATTATTCTCCTCAACGAACTGACGGGAAGTCCCAACGCAACATTTTGAATGACGTTGAGCACTCACGCCGTAAGTAGAAATATGGGGGGAAGATAAAGATGTCACTATGTATGCAAAGTAGTGAAAAACTCACAGGCAAATCATTACTTTTGGACCACGCAGGACGAACAGAAACGCGAGGATCAGGTTGTGCTGGCCCGAGTGTCGAACCAACTACGCCACCACCACTGTCCGCAGGCGACTCGTTCGAAATGATTGACTCACCGACGCCACTTTCATCTGGAGTGTCCGTGTCTCGACTTCGGGTTGTTCCATCTGCAAGCGGGTTGATATTGAATTTCACTATTATCGTTAAAGTCGTTTAGCAAAGGATGTGGCTCATAACATACACAAATATGTCCATCAGATCATCACAGTAAGCAATCCTCGGAAGTGGGACTAATGCAACACACATTAATCCGAAAACAAGACAAATGAAATGCAGTGCGGGCAAACGATGTGCTCACATCTTTAAACATCCAATCAGATATCAACTGTGAACAGTAATCCTACCAGAAGGACTTATTAATGTAGAGGATGAAAATCCAAGTACGCGTGTGAAAACAGCTAGCTATTTAACACAAAACATCTTGACCCAACCATCCAAAAATACTGGGAGAACACAATAAGCGAGCACTACAGGCCACAATTCCCTTCGTAGGGGAGAACGTAACGATCTTCGTGAAATATACGGGAGCAACACATTAGATGAATACAAGCTTCACACATGAACGTGTGAGTTACCGACTGGGTAAACCAAATGAGCATCACAAATTAGTGAATTCCCGTGCAGGCAACCGTTTGTGGCTCCGCCGCCAAACATTCAAAATAAAGCCAGATCAATGGGTTGAGGCTTCTGTTTGCGCGCACACATCCGATGAAGTGCCATCGTACTACCGGGCCACAAAAGTGCACTTAATGGTCTGTTGAGACCAAAGACTGTCACCTTGACCTAGTGATCGGGCCTGAGTGTTTCAGTGAACCGGTCGAAATACGATTAAAACTCACCAAGATCTCAAAATGACACCGAAAAACATCAAAATTACGAAACACTATCACAAATGAGACATCTACGCCGTACTCGCTGCGTCTTCGGGCTAGGCTAGTCCACTCAGCCAAACAGTTCAGACTATTGAGTCATTGGCTGCGGGCAACATAAGCGTCAGCTTGTTGGACGGATGTTTGAGCAGAAGAATCAAGGTGAAATACATCACACGAACCCTTTTTCTTGACGTGGATGACCGGCTGTATTTGCCCTGGTAGCCCTTCGTTCACTGGCACACATGTACACTCCTTCCCCTTTCAACTAGTCCAGTAAGTTCAATCCAACTGTCAGTCCCTTAACCATTCATCCATATTCAAACTACAGTCCAGTAAAATAAACAAGAACCCCTTACTAAACTCAAAGGATATGTTCCACCTTGCAGTAACTGGGCAACAGGCATCAACTAGTGAAGCTACGCAAAAAGGACCCCAGCTAACTCATCCACCTCACATAATCCAAATTTCACTCTTCGGTTATCTGCCGATCCTCACGTACCAACCAACGGTATCTATGGTGTGGGAGCCGCATTGAGGCATAAGGCACCGTATTGGACTGGGTCCCAGAAGACGATAATCTAAGTGCTGTACGGTTGCCTGGTTCAATTAGAAACAGCGCACATTCATGAACTGATTCCAACTATGTAGGTAATGAGAAATGACTTCTCCAGATGTACGCTCAACATCGTCTGTTTGTTCTATTCGACAGACTTTACCAAATGAGCCCTGGAGTTTAGCGAGATAAGTAGATCTTATTGATGCCAGAAAAGTTCAACTAGCGGTCAAGATCCGTCAAACGCCGGATAATCAAGGGCCTGAAAAATAACAGAAAAAGCTGCTGGCCGAGGACAAGGCATCTGCCGCAGGAAACAGTGATGCCCTGTTTCAGCTTGTAGATTGACCAGACCAAAAGAACAGAAGTGTCAGCGAAGTGATTGATGATGGAGTAACATTTTAAAGAACGATCCAGCTAGCCTTCTTCAACACAACTTCTGGAAGAACCCAAAGGCTGTCTAACATTAGCAACGGAAATCCAGCATGAAATATTACTTCAACGCGACAAGACATCAGCCACGTAGGAATTATCCAAGAAGGTGAAATCCTGGTGAGCAGTTTGACGACCCTACTACAGAAGACTTGGAACAAAGACAGAATACCGGTGAAATTGAGCGCGCTGAAGGTATGTATAATCTTCAGAAAGCGCACCAGAAAATCATACGAAGACTATAACAACAGTAGTCAGGTCGCCGTGGCATTCAAGATCTCTCCAGCATTGTATTATAAAGGTTTGTTCATTACTAGGAGAGATCAATTTATGAGAATCGAACTGGGTTTCGTCCTGGCCGAGAATGTACTGAATATATGTTTGCTTTGAGATGTATTCACGAACTGCATCACTTTCATAAGTTCAGCAGTGAAGCTTTTCCTTGAGCTTAGGACTGCTCCCTGCTTTAGGGTATTGCCCAGCGATCAAAAGTTGTCCCTTCTAAACGTCCCCTCTAATAACCAACACGAATAACCGTCACCTTAATGTGGAATGACGACTTGGGCACCTTTATGATCCACTAAATTACACAGGGTTTGTCTCACGCCAACCACTCTACGATACGATCAGGCTATTGGGCCAGACAATGTGGTCGAGGATCCTAATCGTTTTCCTGTCTACGTCTGAGTGCCCTAGCGGTATCTCAGCAAGCATGAAACCATGAACTGTAAGCCACATCGATCGTCATCTTGGGCTTCCAGTCGGGTTGCCTTGGTTGCCATGTAGGGCAAGGTGGATGAACGAAAACAAGCTACTACGAAAACCTTCCAGTTTTCTTCTGTTAAGACCTTCCCCGTCCCAATTGACGACCACTATGCTGTAGATCCTGGCCATAGGCATCTCAGTCCGGCATTTAAAGAATTTATCTCAATTTACTGTCGTGCAAAAATACGGAAGAGTGACAATGCGTATCACTGATCCAGGATTATGCAGATTTTGTTAAAGCAGGTCTAATTGAAAGTACTACGGCAAAGAATGCATTAAGCACACAGTAACCCATAGGAACACCAGCCGCTCTAGATTACTTTCAGTCCCTTGGTTCAAGCAACTACAAGGCTGCTAAGTAAGTTCCAAAAATTACCCACAAAGACCGAGCGTCGACTGCAATTCGGTACTGAGGCTGTACTCTACTCACTTGCTTCAGCAAACACGTTGAACAAAGTGGTGAGCTAGTCGAGCCATCCACACATTCGTTGCATAGTACTTCAAAAGCAGCGGGCGTTCCATCAAAAAAAAAACCGGAGAAACCTTAAGAACTATCTCCCAGCCTAGGAGACAGACATGAGAACAGATGAGTCTAAAGATGATGAACGGGTTAAAATGTGCAGTGAAAAAAAGAATAAATCATCAGTAGCGTTCTACATGCCATATCTTTCACCTCATCAGACATTTGATCCACGATGCTAGTGACGAGAAAACATGACAAGGTTTGTATGACGACCTGAAATCCTCTAACATGAGTGAAAAACATAACATACATACATAACATAATACATATCGTAATGACATACATACTGGACAGCTAAATGTCTTGGTGGAATCTAGTTTCTGCCAGACAAAGCAGCTAAAAACACTTGCGAAATAAAAATGATGGGGAGGAGGAAGCTTACTCTGCTGCAGTCCAGCCAAATGGACAGGCTGACCGACGGCAGCGTCGGTAACACGGCGATGATGTCGACCAGCTCGCACGCTGGTCTTACCACCGCCAACACATTTCACCCCACCGGATGGGATAGCCGGTACAGGACAGAGAGAGGCGTTTTTGGGTGGAAATTCGACAGTTGTAGGCGGTCGTTTAGTGGACACACGTTGAATAGCTGAACTAGAATTGCATATGGAAGGTTGATACAGGTTGGCGTCCTGTTGACTGACTTTTACCGGCAGCGCTGATGTGCCAGTATGGCGCATCCCTGTGGGGGAAACAACACAGGCAGTGGGGAAGTGATTTCCGTTCGAGATGGACGTATTGGCTGCAGAAGAAGGAGTCAGGGACATCGATTGCCTTCGTTCACACACCGAGTTTTTGGGTAAGCTCAAACCGTTATCAGTTGAGCGGCTTCGTGGGTCTGAAATGGTTCAAGTATTAAACATTTTGACAAACAGCTGCGAAGAGCGCAAGCATAAAACTTCAGATGAGGCAAATACATGTGGGAATCAATGAAGTCAACATACACACCGAATACAATTTGTTCTATACGTAACATACTACTCATAGGGTTGGTGAAAACCTTTTGTGCTCTTTGTTACTGCTAACAAACCTTCAAAGTAAAGCTACTAGTTGACCCAACATACCAACAAATCGACCGGCATCAGCTATTGAACCCGGTACTTTGTTCTCAAATCCCATGACCGCTTGCATTCTTCTGGACCAAAATTCCTCGTCCTCATCGTTCTCTTCCTCTTCCTCTTCTTCGTTCTCATCTTCTTCCTCCTCCTCATCTTCGCTGTCATCGAACTGACCTCCATCAACCCGCTGCTGCCTACCAGTTGCATCTAAACGGGATTGTTGTCCGTCCGAGTGGAACGAATTTGCCGCACAAGCGGTAGAACCGCTTAAAGGACCAAGCAAAACGTTGTTGGAAGCACCTACCTGACCCACAGAAGACCAGGGTTGCGAGACCGGTGCATTTGAGGATGGTATGTTGGAGAAAGGTGGAACAGGAGCGAACACGGCGGAATCCCAATCGGTTCGAGGCTCCGCAGAGCTGTTGATTGGACATGAAATTTGTCTTTGCACCGCCGGTTGAAGTAATTGCGGAGGATTGGGAAGGGTGGGTTGTCGTTTCTTCTCCAGTTCACGGGCCACTTCTTAAATCGGATAAGCAGAGTGAAGGGGGGTGTACAATGGTTTTGTGATCAATGTGACGAAACCAAGAACCGATCAAGAGGCACTACAATTTTTCATGAGCAGTTAACTGACAGTGCAGTATGGGTAGTAAATCCGACTAATGATACCGGCAACTACGGTTTCTATTTATCGATGATAGCAGTACAGAGGTCAACTACGCCTCGCATGTGATCAACTGTGGCAATCTAATGACGAAAATACTACCTGAAACGATTAGTTGCCGGTAGTGGTCGAAAAGCTACGGTAAGCTGGCATGGCGGGGGGAGGGAGGGGGAGGAATGAGCCACATTTCTCAAAGTCAGTAACAACTCGTATGCATTGTTTCGGGTTCCTTCAAAAAGAAGGAATCGAGGAAGACCAAGTTTGCTTGTTAAGGTTTCATAACCATGCTATCAGGTCCTTAGTTGACCAATATTAAATCGTCTCCATCAAATACGTAGCTCATGGTGTCCGATACACGAATTTCGTGGTCTGGTCAATGTGGCACATAAAGAGAGGTTAGTTTGTCTGTCGTGGACCGGTGGGGTCTTCGGGAAACCTCAACACTACCGGTCCGTTGTCACCACCGAACTCAGGCAATGTTCCGGAGTGGAAGCTGTCCCCTAACTTCAATTCGCGTTGACGAAATTAGAAAATAATTGGACGCACCATAGCTTAATTTACAAACTACTCTTGACGGGCAAGAAAACTCAGGTGAGAGCAGCGGTAAACATATGCTTGAACAAAATAAACAAACACAAGATATAGGTTTAGCGGGACCAAGGCTTTTGGAAAGTTGTTAGAATGAACGACAAGGCCGATTAAAGAATCACAAAATGCTACAAGTCAATGACAGTCGTATAAGAAAAGCAGTCTGTGGAGAGAATAATAAAAGAAACCTAAAATACAATACAATACACCATAAATGGATAGAAAATGCAAAAGAAATGTCCTATTGGATGAAAACTAAGAAAATCATTTCTTCTATTGCCCAAATCAGATGAACTAAAGAACGATTCGGTGGGAAACTGATAACCAAATGGAAACCGAAGATATAGTAAGGAAAACGCCCATGAGGCCTGCCGGCCTCTGGCACTAAAACACAACACACGCAACGTATATGTCAAACTAACGGACTCAAATTCTGACTTGACTTCAACTGCGTCAAATCAAGACAAGACTAATGTGAGGTGTCTACATACGGTTCACTGTTGTCTCGGATTACACTTATCCGGTAAGTTGTTCAGAAAATTAAACGGTCAGCGTCAGTTTTCCTTTACTCTTCCAGTCGAGTTCTTTTTATCATTAATTTGTTGACAAACCCTGGTCTACTTATCCCACAAATTTCAATCGGGATGCACAGGTGTAGGCCAACACTTGAAGGTGTAAATTCGACGCGATCGATTCATTACGTGTTGGATACTGATTGGTACTCATCAAGGGGAGTCAGCAGGATTTGACCGGATGACTTCCAGGTTCAACGCTGAAACTGAATCAGTGAGAGAACGCGCAGAAGCCCAACACAATCTAACAACGCCAACACGGCTTATCGAAACTGTCTCCTTTCAAGGTAGAATAGTACTGACAGAAACGACACCTACTTAGCTACTTCACTTTGCTTTTGGATGATTACCTCCTGAAACAGGATTAGTCGGCACCAGAAATGTCTCAGATACACTCTGCCTAGGCACGGCGATCGGCTTCAGTGACGCACTCTGCAGACAATTTGGAAACCAAGTTGCTCTTGTCCGTACTCACACAGGTCTTCATTTGCCTTACGGGGCGACAACGCCATCCCTAACACGGTGTAGGGACCAATGTTTGCTTAGTGAATTCAGCAATGTTGCTGCACAATAAATGCCAGCGACAGAAGCGATACGTATTCCAACAGGCTACTCTGTCTCTTGTATCAAACCTATTCTCAGCTGCAAATGTCGCCACAACTATGCAGGCAGAGGACGTTGTCCGCATCAACAAATCAGTAGGTCCCTGAGAGAACCGAGAGAACCTGAGAGAAAACCGATCCACAGACTATCCAACTAAAACAACTGCCATTTGCATCGATCTCCAGACGTGTCATAAACAAAACGTGGTGGGCTCTCGAACACCTGTGGCCATCAGTAAAGCACTCGCTGTCGAACCGAATTATGGCTCAGGTTGCCCAACTAAGCGAAAAAAAATAACGAACACTATAAGTTGGACGACTTCTTGTGTATCACAGGGCTAGACTGTCTTAGTAGCCAGTTTACTGATTTAATTATTCGGCTTTTAGCTTCCACCTCGTCCTGGACCGCCTACACATCGACGCACCACTAGATTGCAACACACCACCGACCCACTACGCGTACTGGCGACGTCACCGTAAAAAACTGCCACGAAATCCTCCGCCTCAGCAAACAGAACCGCAGCCAGAAGGTTGAATTCGTGAACCGGGTACACAGCTAGTTGTATCTTTAAGTATCGTCCATATGGAGTGCGGCTGAGGATTTATGATTGACGGTGCGCGCACTGTAAACAAGTGATATTTCCTGTCTCCTGTACGGGCCAGATTACAAAAATTATATCTCTAAAAACGGTGATGGAAAGCTTGAAAAGTTTGTTCGCCCCAAAGGCCCCAAAGGACAAAATTGAGATTCACTTCTGTAAATTGTTTTTTCTCGTAGCTCAAATCTCCGGTCAGCCGCATCGACGTACGATTCACGGCAACAGAAGGTGGATTAGTAAATTCATTATTGTTGGGTTAAATTGGATTTGGCTGTTTGGTAGGAGACAACAGTATTGACCTTGAGTGCGCTCTGATCCTCAGTCTTTCGTTATTATAGGTTTCTACTAGCGTCACACCTGGTGCTGTTCCGATAAAATTATGGCGATTTGGTCCCACATAAATTCAATGACTAACTGCATCAGGAAACAGTTTCGAACTTCCAAGTCAACGGACCGATTGTGAAATGATCGGACAACAATGCAGATTCGGTTCTACCTTTGAGGCAGACAATTACAAAGAACGGGAGAGATAGTCCGTTTCAACTATATTAGCCCATATCATTTCACACGTCCGGTCCAAAAGAGAACTTGTCAGAGACCTATCTGACGGCACCAGAGGCAGACGTTTTCAGGAGGGGTCCAATGGAGTAGCGGCATTATGCTTCCTCCATTTTATCTTGATGGCTATACACCGTTCGAAGCAATCAAAAGCAAATCGAGTGAGTGGACTATGGTTACTGAACCACATCTATCTATCTGCCACGTCCTACTCGTCAATTTAATAATCCAGACAAGCAAGAATGAATATTACTCACCAAGTGCGGGAATCGTAGACACTACAAAAATCAAGGTCAAATATATATATATATATATATATATATA